AATGAATTCGAACCACAATGGACCAACCTAAGATTCAATCATTACTATCTTTCATGAATATTCCAGTGCTCAATTATTGAATTGCACCACAGTGAACAAACAATATAAACAAGTGCAAAACGCGTGTATAAAGTTATTCAGATGAAATAGTACTCTCTTTTCCGCAAGCTCATCAGACGAAATCTGAAGGATGGTTTCGAGACATTCCAATTGCAAAAATTAGAGAAAATAAGTGAACATTGCAGAAGCCCCAGACAAGGACAAAGAAGGTTTGCGGTTTATCAGTCGAAGGCGTTGAAAGAGAGGAGTAGTGCAATGACATCTGTTAGATCTGAAATGCAATCTAAATTAAAAGAGTTCTACGTTTTAAACCCATCCCTTAGTGTCATGGAGACTTCCAACCATCGGTCCAACAACCAGAATGAAGTGCACTCTTGTCCACCAAACCGAAGTTCATAATGTGGCGCAGCAAGTTAAAGAAGGCAGAGCTCCAGGAATAGACGATCTGTAAATGAAATGGTTACAACAGATGGTGAGAAGCTGTGTAGTGTCCTAAAGGGAAGGTTCAACTATTACCTGGGAACGAAAAAGAAACCATCATTTTCGAAGGAATAAATACTGTTTAAGAAGGGCGAATAATGAAAATCTGTTTGTCATCACATGTCTGCAAGCTGTAAAATAAGATCATTTCCAGCAGACTGTCAACAAGTCTGAATTAACAACAGCAAAGGATCAGGGAAAACTGCGACAGTGGTACATTTCAGGTGATAACATATTCACTTTAAATAAACTCCTCCAGTGCACGTTGAAACTCAAGTTGGCTCAGTGCATAGCCTCTGTCGACTACAAGAAAGTGTTCGCTGCTGCCGAGTACAATAATACAGCGCATCGACACGCCTTACATCAACTTGCTGATAGAACTGAACTCTAGTGGCTTTACGACCATCACACAGTTCGATCCCGACGTCCGGATTCCCGTAGAAAAAGGCATGAAACAATAGATGTCTCTGCAAAATTCTTCACAGTCTGTTTTGAAATAGTGCTTCGGGAATAAGCTGCAAGAGCAAGATTAACATTAACGATGGGTAACTCAACCGCATAAAAATCGCTGATGACGTGGTGCTGCTTCGAAAGTCAGCTACAAGAAACTGTTGTAAAGGCTGGACAAAATAATTGAAGTCAGACTGCAAATCATTCGTTCAGAGATGAAGATGCTGAGAACCGATGCTTTGCGCAAGACCTAGGTGCCATAAAATGATTAAAAGATCGAGCTGAATTAGGGATTTTTCTCACAGCGCTGATATGACAATTCCCATCATTCGTTGTTCGAGAAACATTCGCAATATGTGTCATGATTTTATCGATTAAGACTGTATACGTTACCGATTTTCGAGTGCAGGATTATGCTGAACGTGCATAATTCGAAGTTCAAAGAGCGTTCCACGATGTCTCTTTGACACTAAATAACGCTGTTTGAATTTGGTCAATACGATTTAGTTCTCTTCTCATTGGCTTGCTTTAAAATTTCTCCGCGCTCTACTGGTTTCATTCTAACGTTGACGGCTTTTCTGAAGTAAATGTTATCACAGTCGTTAAACAGGATTTCACATACCACATTCTTCTGTTCTCGTTTTTCAACTTTTTATTTTTTCCACTTCGGGAACCTTCCGGCAGACATATGATGTGCACAAATACCAGCTTGAAGCAAATTTGGAAACCATCATTCCTCGCCTATTACCAACTTAGTGAGAAAGTTTGGAATAATGTAATGACTAGTAGAGATTAAAATCAAAAGATTATTTTTCAGTATGTTGGTTAAAAAATTGTTGGTGAGGTCACTCACTTAAATTCAATGTATTTGATTCATGAGGCGGTTTGTTGCTTGCCATATCATTTGATCCCTCATGATGCTACGGTGGGCGCAGAGTAACGCTTCTGCAACAAATGGCGTCAACGTTTTTGGTACCCTCAACCATGAATTGGCAAACCACCTATAACTTCTCTATTTACGTACCGTTCTGTTTCGCCGAAACTTTTCGCAGTGGCAATAAATGACTACAGGTTACTTTGATTCTGGAGTTTATCATCTGAATTAAACTTTGGTTGAGCACCGATTTCAATCATTTCTTCACTGCACCCATTTTTACATAATTTAACAGAACTTGCATTTCGTGAAAGGACTAGTTGTAATCTAATCGTTTAATTATACCGATTAAGTAATAA